GATTGTATCTATAATTATTTGTATGAGGGGATTTTAAATACTGATCAAGGGAATTTTGACCAAATCAATAAATGCAGGCATGTGAAAAGACATGTGGATTGAAAAAAGTTAATAAATGCTGATCGGGGGATTTTGACCAATTCAATAAATGTTAATTTTTTTTATTTTAATAAAAAAAATTTAGAAAATTCATATTGGAATATTGAAGCTCTCACAGGCCTTGGGGTTAAAAACCTCCTTTTGCTTAATATATAGTATAGATACTAGTATATCACCCGTGCTATGCACGGATTGTGTTTACAATTATCTATGTATGTGAATTGGTATTTTTAAAAGTCTTTTTTTATTTTATTTTAAATGTCTTCTTTTTTTTCCTTTTTTATATTATATTAAAGTTTAATATTTTGATAATAATCATATGTGTTAGACTTTTCAAGGAATTAAATGTCTTTTTTTTTATTATATTATATTAAAGTTTAATATTTTGATAATAATCATAGTATGCAAGACATTTTGGTCGCTTTGGTTGGGAATGTTTGTTTTGAGTTGCCTATTTTGCCCTTAACTTGTTTGGAAATTTCTTATTGTACTCTTTTATTTTGTATAATTTACTAATGATATAACAATTTGAAGGTTTTTCTCATAGATATGCAAACATTTTGGTCAATTGTAAAATATAAATCTTTTATTTTTTAACAAATTACAAATATACCATAAAATTTATTTAAAATATGAATTGGTCATATAATAGTAGAAATTACAACTATTATTTGTGATAAATTTTAATTTAAAACAATACTCAAGGAAAATAAAGAAAGAAAAAAAAAATTTCTCTTTTGCAATAATAAATTATCAAAATTGTTTATTGAAAAATATTTCTCATATCATTAAAAAATTATTAATTGACTTAATAATTTATTTATTAACAAAATGGTTAACTGAAATCTTTTTTCATATCATTAAAAATTATTAATTTACTTAATGATTTACTTATTAATAAAATTGATCAGTTGTTGTGAGAGTATGATTTATGTATTAATAAAATTAGTCATTTGTATATATATGTATTTTCTTCTGCTTCTTCATTAGTTCAGTGACTTATCTTAATATTTTTTTTAGATGAGAGAATTATCTTAGTATTTGTTTTATATTTATCTGTTGAAAACAACTACACATTGTAATTTTTTTTTTTTTTTATGAATTCGGAAGAAATATTTAAAACTCATAAATTCACCCAAAATGATATGATAACAAAATTGGAGTCGACATTATTGGTTGTATAACAAATCAACAAATCATACATATCATAACATATAATTCTATCATATATCTAAAACGTCAGGATCCTCTGAAGTGAAAATCCTGAAGTCATCTCCTAGAGTGATCCATCTAACGGTTGAAATTAACCTCACCAAAACAATGTCGTTTTGATAAGTAATTTGAAAAAAAAAAAAAAAAAAATCAATTTTGGTTCAAAACGTCAAGGGTTCTGCAACTATGAAGCATTAGAGAGAGAGAGAAGGGCTGAGAGGAGGAGCCCCTCCCACTTCTGACGCGCCACTGCTGCCGCCGCTGTCACGCCATACTCCAACGGATTGAAACTTTTTCATTTGGGAAGGAAAGCAAAAGCAAAGCAAGAGAGATATGTAAGCTTTAAAAGCTCCTATCACATACTCTTTGATTTTGCTCTTTATATTGTCATTTTGATGATCTGAAGAAAAGTGAAAATAAGAGAGAAAAATGAGTTATACTTCCATGATTGCTCCAGTTGCTTCGAAACTATTGGATTTCATATTCCCTCCTATCACCAATCAATTTGGTTATCTACTTCACTATAATAAAAATGTGAAAAACATCAGAAAATTACTTGAGAAATTGCAAGATAAGAAATCTAGGGTTGAAGAAGGGTATGTAGCCAAAAGAAATGGGGAACTCATTGAATCAGATGTTGAGAGATGGCTGACTGAAGTAGGTGAGATTGTTGAGAAATTGGGAAAATTCTTGGAAGATGATGCTATTGAGGAGAAAAGGAGCTGCTTCAAAAATTAAGCGGCGGCGGCGGTGGCGCGTCGGGGGTGGGTAGGGTTCCTCCTTCCTCTCAGCCTCTCTCTCTCTATCTCTATCTCTAATGCTTCATATTTGCAGAACCTTGATCTTTTGAACAAAAGCTGAATTTTTTTTTCCTTTTCAAATTACTCACCAAAACGACGTCGTTTTGGTGAGATTTAATTTCAGTCGTTGGATGGATCACTCTAGGAGATGACTTCAGGATTTTCACTTCAGAGGATCCTGACGCATATCTAAATGTCTTTTTTTTTTTTCGTTTTTTTATATTATATTAAAGTTTAATATTTTGATAATAATCATATGTGTTGGATTTTTAAGAATTTTTTTTATGCATGTTCTTAATGCATTAAAGTGTTATTATGAGGGATAATAATCATATGTGTTGGGACTTTTCAAGAAATTCATGTGTTGGATTTCAAAGAATTTTTTTATGCTTGTTTTTAATGCATTAAAGTGTTATCATGATAATATTGATAGTTGTGAAAGTGATGATGTAAGTCGTAATAGTGGTGATGGTAGTGGTGGTGGCAACATCAGTGGTAGTGATATCAATGATAGGAGTATGGTGGTAGTAGATTGTTGTGATTGTAATGGTAGAGGCAAAGTGACGTTGTGATTGCAATGGTAATGGTGATAATGGTAGTAGTGGTGGTGACATCAGTAATACGATGGTGTGGTGGCTGTGGCGGTGACCATGGTAATGATGGTAGTGGTGGCAATGAGGTGAAGGTGGCTGTGACAGTGGTAGTAAGGCGGTGGAATGAGGGTAGGAGAACGAAATGGTAGTAATAACTGAATAATAAATTTTTTAATATATTTTCTTATTTATTAAAAAAAATAAATACTACTTTTTTTAGGTGTCAATAAAAAAATAACTATAAAATTTACTGCAATGCTTGAGGCCTCGAATTTGGCTTTATTTATTTATTTTTTTTGTCTGTGTTAATTATTATTATTATTATTTTTTTTAAGGGTGGTTATGTGTTGTGCCAAAAAATTAGACATTTCGCACCAATTCATCGTACAAAATTATATGAAATTAACAAACTTTAACTAACAAGCTAACTGATCAGTCAATTTTATCACTCAACCAGTCCAAACTAATTGAGTGATCAGTTAGGTTGCTAATTAAAATTTGTTAATTCTATATAATTTTATTCAATGAGTTGGTGCGGGATGTCTAATTTTTTGGCTTATCCCTACACATAACCAAATTTTTTTTTAAAAAAAAAACCAAATCAACACAACCCAACAAATAAAATTAAATTACATTAAAAAAAAACAACAAACCAACACAGCCCAACAAATAGAAGAAAAACAAAACAACTCAACCTACGTGGTTTGATAAGGTGAGTGACCCAACTCACTCACCTTATCAAACCATACAAGTTGAGTTAGTGCGTGATGTCTAATTTTTAGTATACTTTTACACATAACCACTTTTGCAAAAAAAAAAAGAAAGGAGTGGAAATTTTTTATTTATTTATTTTAAAAAAAGAAGACCAAACTAATAATATTTTTCAAATCACTTTTTTGAAAAAAACTCAAAAAACTAAAACCAAACGTAGTGTATGCAAAAAAAACCAAACAAACCCAACCAAAAAAAAAAAAAAAGAAAAAAAAAGAAGAACCAATTTGAGGCCTCGAATTTGAGGCCTCAAGCATTATTGTAAAATTTATAATAATTTAATAATAAAATAAAATAATCATTCTTTAGGTTGGTTTAAGGAAAAAACATTCCTACATTTTATTGGGATAACCATTCCTTCAATAAAACATACCAAGAAAAAAAAGTTGCTGTGCAAAAATATAGGTCCATTTCAGAGCTCATTTTAATAGAAAAATAGGTGGTAGCTTGAAATGGGTGAGGGTCGAATGGCCCAAAATTTGAAAACCACGTCGTTTTGCGATTTTCTTTTTTTTCTTCGTTGAACTTCGTTGAACACAGAAGAACAGAGGGGAAGAGGAGGAGAGAGGGAGAAAGAGAGAGGAGAGGAATGGCCAGTGCCTCCGCCGCGAGGAGCTCGTCGCCTCCGCCCGTCGTCCTCGTCGCAGCTCGCAGCTCGTTCGTCGCCTCCGCCCGCCGTCGCAGCTCGCAGCTCGTCGCCTCCGCCCGATCGTGCCTCCGCCCCCCGCCTCCGCCTCCGCCTCCAGCCCTAATAATTGGGCCCCCTCCAGTCCTTCTCCTCCTCCTCCTTTCTTCCTCCTCCTCCTCTGATTTTCTACTTCTTCTAAAAAAAATAAAAAAAAAAAATGACACCAAAGGGAGGGGATGAACGGAGCTCTGTGTGTGTGTGTGAGAGAGTTTTCCAGAGGGAGGGGATGAACAGAGGGAGGGTGGGTGTACAAAGAAAAGGAGTGGGTGTACAAAGCAATTCGGGCCTTTCGACCCACGCCATTTCGAGCTACGAAATGGGATTGATTTTAATAATCTCAACCGTTAACATTTTAGAATATATTATATAGAATATGTCTGTAAAAATTTAAATTAATCGGATATTGCTTACTTATTTATCGATACACATTTATATCTACAAAAATAAATAATAATTATAATTTAAAGTATTAAAAATATAAATGTAAGGCCTCGTTTGGGAACAGGCTAATTTAGTAACTTTTTGGCTATTTGGCTAAAATGTGATGTAAAAAAAACTAGTATGTTTGGGATGACTTTTTGGCTTTTTACGAAAAGATGTGCAAAAAGTAGAGAGAAAAGAGAATCTTTGACTTTTTGATATGAGTTGTTGGCTTTTTGGCTTTTTTAGTAACTTTTTGACTTTTTGACTAAAATAGCCTCTTACCAAACGAGGCCTAAGTAGATAAATAAGTAAATAATATTGATTAACTTAATTTTTTTATAAATATATGCTACTTAATATATTTTAAAATATAAACTGTTGGAATTATTAAAATGGACTCGGAGATGGATCCATTTTGCCGCGCAGCAGCATCCCACTTCCACCGTTCCTCAAGAAAACCAAACCGTCACTATAAAGCAAATCAGATTGAACGGTTACGATTTTGGCTGGTCTAGATCGATTCACAACCGTTTTTTCTTCGTCGTCATGTAGATCGATCTCTCTCTGCCCTGCTTTTTTTCCCACGGATCGCAGATCACAATTCTATGATTTCTCATCGAAACCCACTTCTCTAATTCCAGGGTTTAAGCAATTACATCAAAGTTTGATCATTTTCATGACAATTCAAGCTACCTAGATCGTAAAAAATGGATTCGCAGCCTTCCCAATTGGGAAGGTTGTCCAAATCAATCTCCAATTCTAGTAGCCAAAGCTTAGCTTCCATCCTCAACAACCCTCACGGCGGCGACGCCTCGTGGATCGGGTGGTGGTCCTCGTCCACCGCCGTGGCTCCCCCTGAATTCGCTCCACTGGCGGGGAACAAAGCCGGTTCAGAACTCAAACGATCCGATTTTAAACCCTACTTGGTTTCGATCTCGGAACCCTATGGAAGATTCGAGGACATTCGGAGTCATAGCAAGAAAGAGAGTTTGGAGGATTTGGAGAGCAATGGAGGTCAAGGTGAAGCATTGGTCTCGTGTCTTCGTGAAGTACCAGCAATGTATTTCAAAGAGGACTTTGCTTTGGAAGATAGAGCCACGTTTCATGAGAATTTGGTTTTGCAAGAGAAGCTTTCTCAGAATTTGGATGTGGTTGAATTACATTTGGTGAAGGAGATTTCGCTGAGGTCGAATTCGTTTTTCGAGGCACAGAGACAACTGGAAGATTTGAATTTGAAGATTGTGGAAGGTTGTGGTAGGATTCGGGAATTTAAGGAGATTATAAGGCTCGTGGATTCAAATTTGGTGGATTCGGGGCGACAAATTCAAGAGTTGAATGGGACAAGAAATGATTTATTGGGTTTGCAACAGAAATTGAGGCTTATATTGTATGTCAACCAAGCTCTTTCGGCTCTTAAATTGGTATTCTTCTTAATCCCATTGCTTTAAAAAAAAAAAAAAAAAAAAAAATGATCCTATTAGCTGTATAGTGTGCCGTTTTCGATTATTTATCTTATGCTGAGCTGATATGTAGAGTTCCATGAGCTCCAGTACGAAACTCAAATCACATGTAAAACTCTAACTATAGATAATCTAGTAATTTCCAAGACAAAGGAGCTTTTAATGTTGTAACACATATGATCATTTTGTTTTACAAAAAATAAGATTGTAAACTATATGATTGAATTCAAAATATGAAAATTGAAGTGAATTTGGAAAGATTAGAAGTTGAAAAAAAAAAAAAAACCCTGAATTTAGGGCATCACTGCTCATGTACCTTCTGTAAGGTATTTTGGGAAAACCCAAAAAATGAGACATAAACACCAACTTCAGCCTTCTCTTTATAACAGTATATAATATAATATATAATATAATATAATATAATAATAGTATAAAAGGTAGATATAGTCTATGGATATATATATAGATGGTATGCTTTGTAGTTTAGTTGATGGACAACATCTCAACCTTGGTGCTGATCAAAAAAACATCTCAACCTTGGTAAGAGTGGTTATTCCTCTCTGTCAGCCTTCCAAGATTGCTTGTCCCTTTTTTGTTGCTCTTTCTTTATTTTGTCATTTACCATTTGATTTCCTGTTACCTTAACCACGGTAATGACTTGAGTGGAGTACTTGTTTTTGTTTCATTGGTAATCTCAATATTCTTCCATGTGGAATTACTCATTGTAGCGTGAATCAAAAGAAATTCTTGAGACATGCTCGAAAGCTTTACTTGTCAGCAAAAAAAATAAATGCTTAAAAACTTCTCTTTGAGAATTGTACTATTAATTTATAGAGGCTACAGTTATTAAAGTAGCTACTTGTTGATGCCTGGGATATAAACTGATCATCTTCTTTTTTCTTGCTATGCACAGCTTGTTGCATCTGCAGATTGTGCTGGAGCCTTAGATGTCACTGATGATTTGCAGCATTTGCTGGTAAATTCACAACTATGGATAAAAATGTTCTATTTATTGACTTTTGTATTTCAAAATTGTTCTTGAGAGTTTCAGTTTTCATACAAACTTAGTTTTTGATAGATTGCAAAGTATAATGCTACACAAAAAGTCAAAGCACAACAGCAGAAAGAAAAAGGTCTGTTGACTACATTTTCATTGTATTTACCATCTTTCTTTCTTTTTTCATTGATGTTTGACAGGATGGTGATGAGCTGACTGGTTTACACTGCTTTCGTCACCTTCGAAATCATCTAGCTGCTTCAGTAGATACTATAAACAGGTTAGTCTTATCCAATAGCGGTGTGATGTGGGACTTTGGAATGATTGATTGTCGTACTACAGTATGTGAAATTTCAGTTGAAAATTTTCTTAAGGGATACATTGAGATGAGGGTAGAAGAGTATAGATGTGGAATTTGCAATAGAGAAAGAGATTTGTTTAGCTGTTGCCAGCACTAAAGAAAACTTGAAACTTTGAAAAAACCAATATGCACACACAAAAATATCCTGTTGGCACTGACAGATGGTAGATTTTTCAACATTGGCTGAAGCTTATTGAATTGTAATTTTTAAGACGTAGGCTGTAGGGGGTTTCTCGTGTGTTTCTTATGGGCCAAGTAATGTCATTTGAATTTTATTAGTTTGTCTAGAATATTTTTAGTTACCAAGTATTCTTAGCTCTTAAATTTGAGTCTAGTTCTTGTAGGACTAAGGAAAGACTAGCAACTTATATAACCATGTGATCTTTCTTCTCAAGATGGAGTTGAGTTATGAGAAACTGAGATTGTGTTTGTGTGAATTGACCTATCCCTTGTGAGGCTGAAGCACCTCTTTCATTCTCTCAGTCTTTTTCATTTCTCTTTCTTCTTCTGTGCACACATATCCAAGTTACTATTTTTGGATTATTATTCATAACCCTAAAAAATGTACTTTTCAATCCCAAACCCTATCCAATCATGCCCAAATCAACTCTAAACCCTTTCCTACCAATTGGCCTTCAATTTAACAAATTATTCACTTCTTTGGCCAAGGGGTCTTGTCCTGTCTAGAAGTTACAAGGATTTTCCCCCCTTTTGGGTGTGTGTGTTCATGCACATGCACTTGTTGCATTTGCCCTTCAGCAATAAACTTTTTACTTAGTAATAATGACGAGGGAACAACACCACTATTCTCATATCATAAGGCCTTGAACCTAGTAGTTGCAAGTTTATAACTTTGTTGTGTTTCATTTGGTGTCTATTTTTGTTATAAACCATTGGAGAATTTTTTTTTTGGATAATCTTTTCTATAGAACTTATTTCTGATTACTATATGTGCTTATTTTGGTCACAGAAATTTCTTTCAAATGCTATTGTATAGATATATGCTGTGACTTATTAAATTCATTCTTGTAGCATTCTTTCAGCAGAATTTATGCGTACATCTATACATGGTGTTCGCAATATGGATGCGGTAATATTGTCAAAAATAAAAGCAAGGGCAAGCCTACCCAAAAATGGTGAAGAGAATGAAGTAAGCATGATATGTGTTCTCTTTTCTTGTTGAACATCTACATGGTACTGCTGTGATATCCTCAAACTATTTCTTTTCCCTTATGCCCTACGACTTAGCAATGTATAAGTTATGGCCATCAATTTCTGTTTCAGCTTGTGTGGCCTGTTTTCTCTTTGATATCCGTTGGCTTCATATTTTGGGGCTTAAATTGTTTGGTTCCTTGATATGCCTGATTAAAGATATTGAGGTGGTTAAGTCTCTTATATTTCTATGTTTCAAAAGTTCATCCATATTGCTTTAGCCTCTACTGTGATAGGTTTAGAATGATATTCTTAACTTCTTTTGTGTGCAATTTTTTATTTTGCTTCAATCTGTGCAAGTTGGTGTATGATTTCAAAGCAGGTCCTTTGCTGAACTGTAAAACTAATGACCGGAGTTGGCATGTTTGTAGGTTAAATTGGATGAAGAAGAAACATCCATTTTTCGAGATCAAATTCTACCTCTTACAATTGGATTGCTGAGAACAGTGAGTAAACGTCAAGTCTACATATTTGACACTTCCAATTGTCGATGTATCTGAACTTTATGAATGATCTATGTTTCATTCATAGAGTTGGATATGATTATTGGGCATGACTATGTGTCCAGGCATCGGACCTCCCCAACCCCTTAATCTTAGGTTATAGGTATTGTATCCAAAAGTTGGATATGAGTGAGTGGACTCATCCTGAGCATTTAAATATATTTTTGTACTATATTCTGCAAAAAATGTTGTTTTTATTTAGAAATGCACTTGAAATTAAATGAGATTTAAGGGGGAAGGGGGATTTCTATCTTCCATCCATGTGAGAGACGGGGCATTTTTCTTTACAATTGAATGTGAGTTTCTTATTTCTCAAACATTGTAAAAAATTATGAGAATTCAAGGGTCTAATTTGGTACAGGGGTCAGACGCATCCCATACCCTTAACCTTCTTATTTGGAGTTGACATGGGTACACTGGGAGGAACAGAGAGTCTATAACAAACTTCTGATAAAAAAATGAAAAGGGAAAAAAAGAAACATTCTAGTTTGAAGTTTGGTTATGGCTGCTCACAGCTTGCTGTCTTATTGAATTCAATTCTATTTTCTAAATTATTTCATTATTCGATCTGCTTCAGATGATCTATCTGAGGTTGCTATGAAATTTTTCTTGGCATACTGGTTATTTTCAGGAAAAACTCCCCTCTGTGTTGAGAATATACCGCGATACACTAACTGCTCATATGAAAACTGCTATTAAGACTGCAGTTGCTGATATTCTTCCTGTTCTTCTAACCCAACCTTTGGAGTCAGATTATGCACCAGGAGAACGAATTGTGGATGCAGATGGTAGGTTAAATGTTGTAATCTGTTTGTCATACTTAGAAAATATGAGGAAGAAGAACTCCGAAAATATGAGGAAGAAGGAATATATTTCTGTTATATTCAAAACTTCTTGTCTTACAAGATCAAATGACACTCCTTATATAGGAGATATTACAAACATCATTATAACCCATTATATGCCACTTACATATTATATATTACCACTATCTACCACGATCATATTCTATACATGCCACCAACACCACTATCATATTATATGCATGCCACCAACACCACTATCATATTATATACATGCCACCAACACCACTATCATATGCCACTATCTTATTATATACATTAACACAAATTTCCAGCACTCTCCCTCAAGCTGGTTTGAAGATATCTTCCATAGCCAGCTTGCTAGTCAGCTTATCAAATTGCTTCTTGTGTAGTCCCTTCGTTAGCACATCAGCTAATTGTTCACCTGTTGGAAGGTAGGTCATACAGATTATGCCAGCATTGATTTTCTCCTTGATGAAATGTTTATCCACTTCTATATGTTTTGTGCGATCATGTAGAACTGGATTATGAGCTATAGATATAGCTGCTTTGTTGTCACAATAGACTTTCATAGGTGTTGGGTGAGAAAGCTTTAATTCTTCAAGAATTCTTTTAATCCACATTACTTCACAGATTCCATGGGCAACAGCTCTGAACTCTGCTTTTGCACTACTTCTAGCTACCACATTCTGTTTTTTACTCCGCCATGTAACTAGGTTCCCACCTACAAAGGAGCAGTATCCGGATGTTGATCTCCTGTCTGTAACACTTCCTGCCCAGACTGCATCTGTGTATACTTCAACTTGAAGATGTCCATGTTTCTTGAACAGTAAGCCTCTCCCTGGAGTTCCTTTCAAATATCTTAAGATCTTATAAACGGCCTCAAAGTGCTCTGCCCCTGGTGAGTGCATGAACTGACTTACCATGCTGACTGCAAAGGCAATATCAGGCCGCGTATGAGACAAGTAAATCAATTTCCCGACAAGTCGCTGATATTGTTCCCTCTCTTTGACTGCTTCAGCCTTAGCAGCTTGTAACTTCAAGTTAGGCTCGATCGGAGTCTCCACCATCGTACAACCAAGCATACCTGTTTCTCCAAGGAGATCAAGAACATATTTTCTCTGATTAACGAATATACCTTCCTTGGATCTTGCAAATTCCATTCCGAGGAAATACTTGAGGGCTCCCAGATCCTTAATGTGAAATTCTTTTGCGAGTTTCTCTTGAGATTGTGTTTGTGTGAATTGACCTATCCCTTGTGAGGCTGAAGCACCTCTTTCATTCTCTCAGTCTTTTTCATTTCTCTTTCTTCTTCTGTGCACACATATCCAAGTTACTATTTTTGGATTATTATTCATAACCCTAAAAAATGTACTTTTCAATCCCAAACCCTATCCAATCATGCCCAAATCAACTCTAAACCCTTTCCTACCAATTGGCCTTCAATTTAACAAATTATTCACTTCTTTGGCCAAGGGGTCTTGTCCTGTCTAGAAGTTACAAGGATTTTCCCCCCTTTTGGGTGTGTGTGTTCATGCACATGCACTTGTTGCATTTGCCCTTCAGCAATAAACTTTTTACTTAGTAATAATGACGAGGGAACAACACCACTATTCTCATATCATAAGGCCTTGAACCTAGTAGTTGCAAGTTTATAACTTTGTTGTGTTTCATTTGGTGTCTATTTTTGTTATAAACCATTGGAGAATTTTTTTTTTGGATAATCTTTTCTATAGAACTTATTTCTGATTACTATATGTGCTTATTTTGGTCACAGAAATTTCTTTCAAATGCTATTGTATAGATATACGTTGTGACTTATTAAATTCATTCTTGTAGCATTCTTTCAGCAGAATTTATGCGTACATCTATACATGGTGTTCGCAATATGGATGCGGTAATATTGTCAAAAATAAAAGCAAGGGCAAGCCTACCCAAAAATGGTGAAGAGAATGAAGTAAGCATGATATGTGTTCTCTTTTCTTGTTGAACATCTACATGGTACTGCTGTGATATCCTCAAACTATTTCTTTTCCCTTATGCCCTACGACTTAGCAATGTATAAGTTATGGCCATCAATTTCTGTTTCAGCTTGTGTGGCCTGTTTTCTCTTTGATATCCGTTGGCTTCATATTTTGGGGCTTAAATTGTTTAGTTCCTTGATACGCCTGATTAAAGATATTGAGGTGGTTAAGTCTCTTATATTTCTATGTTTCAAAAGTTCATCCATATTGCTTTAGCCTCTACTGTGATATGTTTAGAATGATATTCTTAACTTCTTTTGTGTGCAATTTTTTATTTTGCTTCAATCTGTGCAAGTTGGTGTATGATTTCAAAGCAGGTCCTTTGCTGAACTGTAAAACTAATGACCGGAGTTGGCATGTTTGTAGGTTAAATTGGATGAAGAAGAAACATCCATTTTTCGAGATCAAATTCTACCTCTTACAATTGGATTGCTGAGAACAGTGAGTAAACGTCAAGTCTACATATTTGACACTTCCAATTGTCGATGTATCTGAACTTTATGAATGATCTATGTTTCATTCATAGAGTTGGATATGATTATTGGGCATGACTATGTGTCCAGGCATCGGACCTCCCCAACCCCTTAATCTTAGGTTATAGGTATTGTATCCAAAAGTTGGATATGAGTGAGTGGACTCATCCTGAGCATTTAAATATATTTTTGTACTATATTCTGCAAAAAATGTTGTTTTTATTTAGAAATGTACTTGAAATTAAATGAGATTTAAGGGGGAAGGGGGATTTCTATCTTCCATCCATGTGAGAGACGGGGCATTTTTCCTTACAATTGAATGTGAGTTTCTTATTTCTCAAACATTATAAAAAATGATGAGAATTCAAGGGTCTAGTTTGGTATAGGGGTCAGACGCATCCCCTACCCTTAACCTTCTTATTTGGAGTTTACTCGGGTACACTAAGGGGAACAAAGAGTTTATAACAAACTTCTGATAAAAAAATGAAAAGGGAAAAAAAGAAACATTGTAGTTTGAAGTTTGGTTATGGTTGCTCACAGCTTGCTGTCTTATTGAATTCAAGTCTATTTTCTAAATTATTTCATTATTCGATCTGCTTCAGATGATCTATCTGAGGTTGCTATGAAATTTTTCTTGGCATACTGGTTATTTTCAGGAAAAACTCCCCTCTGTGTTGAGAATATACCGCGATACACTTACTGCTCATATGAAAACTGCTATTAAGACTGCAGTTGCTGATATTCTTCCTGTTCTTCTAACCCAACCTTTGGAGTCAGATTATGCACCAGGAGAACGAATTGTGGATGCAGATGGTAGGTTAAATGTTGTAATCTGTTTGTCATGTATTTGACGCGAATATTATATCAAATCAACTATTTTTGTTTTCTAGTGTGAATCTCTTTATTACATTTTATACGGCATGAATGCTATGCTTTTGTCCTTTTTATTATTTATTTTTTGTTTTTCTATAGGAGGCTCATCGCTTGCTAGCAAATTAAGAAGCTTGTCATCTGAAAGTTTTGTTCGACTTTTGGAGGCTATTTTCTGTATTGTACGGGTAATGCGTATGTCAATATTCCTTTTATACCGTCTTGAATTTACTTCTTGATGTTTCTTTGGATACTTACCAAAGTTAATTGGATTGCACACGAACCTGAGGGATAGGCTTGTATTGCTAGCATGGTGTTGTATGTTGTTGAGATGTCTCTACAAATGGGTGTGATTTTTTTCCAAATTAGGTGTAATAAAACAAATTACTGTTAAAATAGATAAACTTTATTTTTATATTTTGAAATTTATTATGTTGGAACTAACCATGTGAAAAACATAGAGTTTTATCGTGATTAAGTTTAGTGTTTGATGTACTATACCCTTTTCCTTAACATTTTCTTGAAAAGTGTCTTATCAGTTTTTTTTTTTTTTGGATAAATAGAAGTGTCTTATCAGCAATTAGATTGCAATTCATTATAAGTACACCATTTTTTTACTGGCTGATGTGGAGTCTCGTTGAATTTCAGCACTAAATTAGAATTAAGGTCAGTCAGTAGCCCTTTAGGGGCAGATTTCAGTCATCTTTTGTGGTTAATAGTAGGCACAACAGTAAGGTCTTAATGTTTTGTAATGGTGTATGGAAGGGATAACGAATTGAGGATCTGATTAAACAAAGAAAAGAAGTTTTGGGGGTTGTGAACAATACCTTGGCTTGGTTTGGATTATTTTGTATGTTTTGAATTTTGAGTGGATGCTTTAAGGAGGGTGGGCTAACCTTTTTAAGGTTCGTTTAGGGTATGGATGGAAGCATAGTATGGTCATTGGATGGTTTAAATGATTTCAAAGTAAAAGATGTCATGAGGAGAAGAAGAAGAAAGAGGAAGAAAAAGAGGAGAGAGAACCTAGGTAACCCAAATTGAAGGAAAGATGCCTCACATAATTGAGGAATTATGCTTTAAAAGAGTTATTTTCTTAGACAAATGACTGCCTTGGTCTGCCACTGATCTGGCTGGTGATTTAGCAACAGATGTAAAAAAATAAAAAATAAAAATAAAAAGTGATTTGAACACAGATTCAAATGGAAAATGCTTTGGAGAAGGCCTTGCCTTGACAGTTTGACAGTAGTATAATACATCAAGCGTATCCAACATCTAGGGTTTCCCATTTAGGATTATCTGGTTAGAACAAAGTTACACGCTTGACATATTAGGTGATCTGGTTCCTAATTATATAGAATACCAACTCTTCTTAAAGAAGTGCATTGTTGAAGAGTGGGGGATCCCTTATATAATGTTGAGATCCTCCAATAAACTATGCAGCAATCCCGAAAAGGTTAAAAGTATGAAAAATTTTGTAACTTATGATTGTTGGACTGGCTCTCTCCATCTCCCGATACATCTTTGTTTTAGAGAAAGAGTGGGAGGGAGGACCGTTCAAAAGGGAAGAAGTAATGTAAAGTATAATTTTGTTCTTCTGCACCAAACAGAACCTCTATGAAGTTAATTCTCCAATTTATGACCCACTTTGGTACTGCAGCTGCTACTAATGGTATAAATTGCCAATTTAAGGCTGCTGAGTGTCGTGCGAGTCACTCTTTTATGTAGATAGTTATTTTTGGAAAGTTCTGTATCTGCGATGAAAGGGTTAGGTATGAATGGCCACAACAATATCTGCAAAGTGGAAACTACAAGGATCTAAAAGGTCTTCTGAATGTATGTTTTCTACAACTCAAAAGCCTCTTTGGGCTCGTCCACATCATTACGTCTTTCAGCTCTGTCTGGGGCCATCAACTTATTATTTTACCTTTTATTGCTGAATTCAGATGCATAATTCTTGTACTAGTACGATGGTAGATTTCATTTGCACTTCCATTATTTCAATTAGCATTTTGGTAAGATGTAATTTGATTATTTTCTTTTAGTGAATGCAGGCACACTTGGTTCGGGCTGCCGAAGTAAAAAAGGCCATTGAGTGGATTATTTGCAACCTTGATATTCACTATGTTACTGATTCTGTTTCTGCTATTGCACATACTTCTGAAGAGGCTAATGACCAAACTGCTTCCCCTCTGTCATATTCTTCTCATAGGAATACTCTCAAGGTGCCTTCGTTGCAGGCAAAGGAAAATGATGTGACTAGTTCATCAAATATTTCAAGAAATTTTAGGTGATCTCTCGTTCCTTCTTGGCTAAGAAGCACAGACACGACACAATTTGAGAAACATTCAATATTGATAACAGAACTTCTAAATGTACTATCCACAGAGTTTGTCTTCTTTTTTATATTTTGCTAGTAAATATGCCTTTTGAAAATTGACCAATTGCATCGAATGTTTCTTTTTTGGTTAATGGCTTTCATGTCACAGGATTGTTCTAGCATCTTGTTTGCAATATCTTTGTGTGCTGCCAAATACTTGGAACTATCTGACAATGTGTTCCTTGACAGAGTGGATGTATTGCGGGAAAATACAGAAGCTGTCTTCGCAGCTTGTGATTCTGCTCACGGAAGATGGGCAAAGCTTCTTGGGGTGCGTGCTCTACTTCATCCTAGGTTGAGATTTCAGGAGTTTTTACGGATATATAACATCACCCAGGAGTTCATAAGTGCTACAGAGAAGGTATTATTGCTGATGTTGTTAGAGGTTGTCTTTATGGTTTTTGTTTTCAATAGGTGTTGCTGTTGCCTTTATTTTTATTATAGGATTATTTGTTTCTTTTTATTTTTTATTTTTCCCTGTAAACATTACTTTCCCTTTGTGGTTATGATGCCAAACTATGCTAACATAAACAGATTGGTGGAAGGTTGGGATACAGCATTCGGGGGACACTACAATCACAGGCCAAGGGCTTTGTTGATTTCCAGCATGAATCCCAAGTAAGTTTCCTTTCTGCTGTATTTAACTTGTTTTTACCAGCCTACACATCTGGTTACTCGACTTAGTGTTTTACTGGTTCTTGTAGATGGCAAAAATCAGGGGAGTGCTTGACCGAGAAACTTGGGTTGAAGTACACGTGGCTGAGGAATTTCAGGCCATCGTCAGTTCTCTGTTTTGTTCTGAGCCATTAATTACTGGGCATACAGATGACGCTCAAGGTAATGTTGCAACAGGCTACAGTGTAGTGGTCTCGAGCTGTGATGCTTCACTCATGGCAGATGCTGTACTAACAAACTCTGAGTAGCATATTTAGCGATTTGATACTGTTAAAGTATATGCAGATAATGGTGCAGTCCTAGTTTACGTGGGCTGTCAAGTACCTGTGTCGGACACTGAGCCTGTTTGCTAATGTTTTTGTTTTTTAAAATATTGAAAATTGGAAACAAAATACGTTAGTTAAAAAATAAAAAAACAATTGGGGATTTATTTCATTTCCAAAAAAAAAAAAAAGATTCACAGTAAAATTTTGAGGAAACAAGAAAAAGGTGTTTTCAAAATAGGCTTTCAATTCGTCCTCCCTCTCCAACCACCTTCACTTACCATGTGTGTTTTTGTAAAAAATAAAAAATAATGAAATTGGCAATGCTACCGAATGGCAACTGTTTTTACTTTCAAAAAATGGCAACAATTTTCAAAATTTGAGGAATAAGAAAAAGGTGTTTTCTCATTTTTGGAAAATAAGGTTTCATTTCCTCCTCCCTCCCTCCCTCCACCTCTGCGGCCATCCCCACCCTCCAGCCACAGATTTTGGCCACCACCTCCCCTCCGGCTACCTCTACCTTCTGGACAAAACCTCTGGCCACCCCCACCCTCGGGCCACCTCCTCCAACTCATCAAAACAATTAAAAAATATATATATGTTTTGTACCAAACATATTATTTGTATCTGTTTGTTTTTAAATAATAAAAGCAAAAAGCAAAACATATTTTTTAAATAGAAAATAGGAAATTGGTAATGTTACCAAATGCTACTTTGATATGGAAGCTAATATGAGATATGTGTCTGGCATGTTGAGTTGGATATACACCCTACAAAACTCTGCATAAGTCTTCTATTATATGCCATACAAAGCACTATGTTAATTTGTAAAAATTGTTTACCTTAAATATTAATAAAAGATGTATTTGAAAAATATGAAATTTGGCTGAGTTCCAATGTCCCTTGGGCAGGAGATTAGATGAATCTGACACTTAGACAAATGCCCTCACTCTACAACTGTACTTGAGTCCATGAAGCGTAGTGCTGCACATGTAAAATCTTCACCTTTGGTATGACCAATTGATAATAAAAATCTGATGCTATAACTTCTCCAGCTCAGAGCAACAATGCTAACAATAATGAACGCGGGAATGCTTCCACTAAAACACTCAAGTTCGCAGGTGTTCATTATCACATGGTAAACTGGTTAGTTTTCTATTTTTATTACTTTATTGTTCTTTTGGGTTTCATTTCAGTCATTATTTTTCCTATCTGTCCTCTCCACCTTCCCTTGCTCTCCTCTGGAAACCTTGATTTCCAGAGCAGTTGGTACTTCTAGGTCATAAAATTTGATTTTTATTGGTCTTTTTTTTTTTTTATTTCCTGATTGATTGTTTTTTTTTTTTTTTTTTTTCTTCCTAATTGATTGTTCCCATGTTTAGAGCTTTTTGGTTTTCATTAGAGTTTTTTTATGATCTAATAATTGGCTTATCTGTTATGGTGTTTACGGACTCATCTCTTGGAAATTCTAACCCAATATTTGTCTCCATGACTCCAGCTTCACTTGGAAATAAGGGAGTTAGTTGAACTGAACTAATTTTGGGGCTGTTTCTTGCTTTTTTCAGTGGCTTGATTTTGCTGAAGATGTTGTCAGAGTACATTGATATTAATAATAATTTGCCAGCACTGTCTTCAGAAGTTGTGCATCGTGTTGTTGAAATCTTGAAGTTTTTCAATACAAGGACTTGTCAGCTTGTTCTTGGTACTGGTGCCTTGCAGGTATTTGTTTTCAGACTGTAATTGATGGATACACGCTTCTTAAGTTGTTAGTTGATGCTAAAACACTGAGATACTCATCAATCCTAGAGAAAGAACACCTGTTAACTGTTTTATGAGTATTCAAATCAAACATCCTCTTGTACATAATGTTACTCTACTCCATACTTCTATTTATTTTTGTTCTGTTTTGTGTTGGATTTTTTTTATTTTGTTTTTTATTTTAAAGAGAAAATTATGAATGAGTATCTGTTAGTCATGTGTTGTCTGCATGAAACTGCAGGTGGCTGGTTTGAAATCCATTACTTCTAAGCACTTGGCATTGGCAAGTCAGGTTATCAGTTTTATGGATGGTATTATTCCTGGTAGGTGACGAGACATAAAAATTCTGCTATTGCCATAGAGTTGTTTCATGTAGTCTTATGTGAATGTTTGTAAATATGCTATCACAATATACTCACTTAACTACTTTTAAGTTTTAACATTAAACACGGTTCATCCATGTGACAAGTTGCAGATTTTATTTTTTCATTTCCAACTTTTTCTGAATTCTAGTCTTGTAATTGTTAGTTATTTTATAGTGTCTTGCTATAATCCTATCAAATTTGGACATAGTCATTATGGTAGAACAAGTTTATGGTTGGTTTTGCTTGTCATTGATGGATTTGAAATTGGATATTCTTTCTGAGAGTAGTTCTTAATGATTTCTATTTATGGTTGATATTTTCATCTTTCTAGTACTCGCATATGCTTGGCCTCAATCATTTCTTTCTTTATATTTATTTTTTTTGAAAATTTTTAGAATGCATCTCAATACTAGAACAATTTAACATCATTCAAGATGCCATGCAATTTTGGCAAAAAAAAAGAGGCCATGCAATTCCCTTCCATGTGAACAATTGTCATGTAACGAGTATTATCGCCTATCATTTGTTAGCTTGGATACTACTACTTACCTTTTTCACCTGGGTGGCCCATGGAACAACCGTCCACACTTTGATTGCCTCTTGAATAAACATCAACATTCTTGGATTGGTTTCCCCTAGAACAAACTTCATGTGCAATAATGGAAATGCTATGACTCAGAATACGATGAATCCTGAAATCATTCAGTCAGTGATAGTTTTGTACCTAGAAAGCAAAATAATAATGACCTCATTTGAGGTGCTCTCTCTCTCTCTCTCTCCCTCCCTCCCTCATTTGCTTGCGGATGGCATCATGAATCCTTTATTTCATTTTTTTGTTGTCACTCTTCTGCATACTCTCCTATCTTCTACTTGATGTAGGCTATATATATGTTGATTAAAAAGTCAAAATATAGTGCACATAGAAACTGTGTTCTACACGTATGATTTGTAATTGCTGAATTTCCAAAATAGTTTGCTGACATTTTGTTTTTGCATGTGGAACTAAGAAATCCGGAGGATTCTCTTCATGAAAGTACCTGAGACACGAAAGGCATTGCTACTGTCTGAGATTGATCGAGTAGCTCTGGTAAAATAACTTGCTACTTTTTTTATTTTATTTTTTATTTTATTCTTTTTATATTCAAATGACATCTGTTCCTGCATAACTTAAATATTATATTATTTGAAGCTGCACATGAACCGAGCAATTGATAAAAAGTTCATATGTAGCTTGCTTATGAGCTTGTTCAGGTTCTTTCCCTTTCAAATGATCTAAGCTTGAGCAGCATTTTTATACCCAGTATTTATTGGAGAGCCAGCTTGGCTCAGCTCATGCATGTGGTGGAGTGCGTCCTTTGGGGAAGATTGGAGAAGTGTGAAGTCTATGGAGGTTAATAGAAGAATTAGTTTGAAATCTCTAGCTGCTTCTTATGGAATTGGTTGATTATTTTCCATTTCAATAAAGGACATTTTTTTGGAAGGAATACACTATATAGTGCTTTAGCCACAATAAAAGCAATGACAAGAAAAACGATGCAACTACAAGTTGAATGTCTTATGCTTCTGCTGGCATTAGCATTGGGCTTTAATTTTTTTTTTTTTGAGCCATTTATAATAGGAGCGTCATGTTTTTGACAGTGAATGACAAATACTGTAATTTTTTAGTGCTTCACTTCATACAAGGTATCTCATGGTTTTATTTCTTTCGAACTTTTAGGATTATAAAATCCACAGAGATGAGATACATACAAAACTGGTTCAAATAATGAGAGAAAGGTTATTTGTTCATCTTCGTGGTTTACCACAAATTGTTGAGGGTTGGAACAGACCAGAAGATGCTGATTCACTGCCCAGTCAGTTTGCTCGGTCCCTTACGAAGGTAATAAATTATAAAATTGTCTTTATTTGTGCACCAGTATAGTTATTCTTGTGTTGCTCTTTTACACTGTTTTGTGGAGTTTTTGTCATTGTACTGCAGTGTAATGTGAATGCCTTCCATTGGCCTAATCTAAATATACTTTCAAATTGAAAAACTGATTAAATTAATAGTTGTCAACTTTTTTCTAAATGATCCACTCATAAATAATATGCTAGCTAAAAAGCACAGACACTTTTGTCGAAAAGGCATGTTGTGTCAGACACTTGTGTCAGATATCAACATTCTCTGGACACTCCTAAAAGTATGTCCTACACTTGTTCAATGTGTCTTAATTAAATTTAAGTCTATCTGGGATATTTTAGTCAGAATGGTATGTTGGAGAGAACTTCCTTTGTAGGCAACTCTATAGTTAAATTTGCATCGACTTTAATTGGATATGATTTTATTCATTTGCAGGAAGTTGGCTATTTTCAACGTGTCTTATCCAAAACTCTGCATGAATTTGACGTTCACGTAATTTTGAGGTGTGGCCTAACATTTTAATTTTAACACACTGTAGACTTGGAGATTTCAAATGAGCTGTTTATTTATGTATTTGTTTTGGAAAGCAAAGCTGTTTGTTTACAATTTTAGATCATTGCATCAAATTGAATGTAGAAGAAGACTATTGACACTTGTTGACTTGTAAATAGCAATCAAATGGTCTGGTAACTCTAATATAAAAAGAAGAAAGCAAAAGGGAAGCTGGGAGGCTTCCCTTATTTGCTGTAATATGTATCCTTTTTTTTTTGCTGTAATATGTACCCTTAATTTCTTTTGAGAGGACTTACAGGCAACATATATTATAAGACGGAATGTTGGGGATCATATAAAACATATATTGCATCCATCACGGTGCTTCTTCACTTAATATTTTTAAATAATGCCATAAATGAACTGAACTGAGCTGAGATCTTTTGCTCTTTGGGCTCATCTCATTCGGGTTTGGGGTCTCCTAGCTTCTCATATAGCTGTTCAATCCCCACTTGCAAGTGCTTTAGCAAAGACAAGCTTGAGCTGGGCTGCTTTGGTTTTTGTAGAAACTAGAGGTGGTGCACATGCGATGCATGTGATGTAGCTCTCATGTATTTATGTAGAAAATATATTTTGTTTAAGAGAAGAGAGGCAGATTTTGATGGGAGAAAAAAAATTATGGGAATGAAACAAGGAAGTGGAAAAAGAGAAAGAAACATGGAGAAAAAAAAAAAGAAGGGCATTGGAGAAGTGAACAATGACATGGAAAAATGAATCTAAAAACACTAATCTGGCCTTATATCTGTTTAATTTGAAAATATTGACTTGGGATTTTGATGGAAGGCACAAATGTTTGATCTGGTAGCTGTCCTTGAGTAAAATCATCACCAATGTCTCCCTCTTTGTGACTAATTGAGCCTAGGTATTGAAATTGTGTACTCTTGGGGATTTCTTGGCTTCAATACTAACTACCCCCCTCATTCGTATTTCGGCTTTTAATAAAGATACATCCAATTTATTTAGTTTTGTCCTACTTATTTTAAATTCTTTTATTACAGAACATCCCCAAACAGTTATTTAAATATGCAGTTAAAGAATTTGTGAACTCGTCAGTTTGAAGTAGTATCAGACCCAAACTGTTTCTTTGCTTGCTTATTAGGTCTGCTAATTGCATTCAGTTTATGAAGGATAATTTCTTGTTTTATTCTAAAGCTGTCCCACCTCTTTGAGAGTTCTCTTATAAGATTAAGCTTAACTTCAAGAACCTCACTTCTCCCTCTTAATGTTATCGTTCTTTTTTAGATTATTAAAAAGAGTCCATGCTTTATGTTTCCATTTGTTTCTACATAATGACCTCCATGCTGTGCTACTTGTAGGCAAGTTGTTATAATCTTCCACTCACAAATTTCTGAAGCATTTTCCCGCTTAGATATTAGCACTCCAGAAGCAAGAAACAGGTATAACCTTTTTAATTTGCTATAATTTTTTTTGAAACCTTCTGTTTGTTTCTGTGGACTCATTTTTCTTTTGTTCTTATTTATTTTCTATCTGATTGTGTCTGCCAGGCTCCATCGGGATGTTCAACACATTCTTGCATGCATTCGATTGTTGCCTTGTGATGATATGAGATCTGGTACCCCAAATTGGGGGCAACTTGATGAATTATTGGTGCAAAGATTTGGTCCTGAAGCTGGTGAATAAACTTTATTGTGAAGTAGCAAATTGGTTATATCTCTGATGACAGTCAACCAGATTTGATGGAGACATTGTGGGGATACCAGAAGCAATCTTCAACAAGTGTTATACTGTATATGATTGAATTAAGGAAACAAGAGTAAAGAGAGCTATTCAAGGTATCAATAATCTTGAACTGCGACATTTATTTTTCTTTTCTCAGCTGCATGAATGATTATTGATTAAGGATCAATCATAGAAGGACAAATAAATTGAAGCAGAAGAAAAAAATAAAGGACGAACTTAGGGATTTTAAATGATAGTTTATAATTTATTAGCTGTTTTAGCAGTTTTTTTAGTCTGATGCGCGCGTGTGCACACACACAAAAAAAAAAGAAAAAGTTTGTGTATTTTTAATAAAGAGTGGTTCATGCTACTGCTTGTGTACACCTAGATTTTCTAACACCTTGTTTGTATTTAAATAATTATTTCTGTAAATAAGATACTTGAGATCTTTTGAAGCTGATATCTTTTTGGGCATATACAATTTAGAATCTAATATATTAACACTAATTCCTAAGGGGCTAAATCTGTCTTCTAAGCACTATAGAAGTTTGTGCATCCCATTCTTCAGAGCCTCAAGAATATCATGGGGATGGCTGTAGATGTCCTGAATTTTGAAATTGACAAACAGAAAGTGCATATGCATAGTTTGAACTGAGTTGTGTAACTACATAGTGGCTTTAACAGTGCCTTATACCACTAATTTTACCAAGTTTTTTAGGCACCATCTGCGTAGCCTTTAACACTCCATTTTCTGTCAATGTCACAAATTCAGATTTGGCTTTTATTAGCTACAGCTGGTGTTGTTGAGAGGAACTCTTCACACAGCAGTTACTATTTTTAGCACAACGTGACTTCATTCTTGGTGTAAATGTTGCCATATATCGCTATCTTATTATGTAAACAATGTTTCAAAGATTGTCTAATATTAATGAATGATAAGGTAAGTGAAAATAAAATTGACACACTTTGCTTGGAACTAATTGCTAGAGCATTGTTTTGATATGCAGAGTCAATCTTTACTTGTATTGGTGAGATTTATTTCTTAGTTTCTGGCACCAACGGCAGTGTTGACAGTAGTTATCACATTTGTTTAGAGTCGTGCTTATTAATCAATTTATTTAAGTTTCAATTACATAAATTTCTTTTTCTTTTACTCTCTTGTGCTTAGTGGCTTTGATCTTATTATTATTATCTGTTATTATTTCTCCTTGATTAATGTATTCAGAAGAGTTTGCTTTTGCCAGAAACATAATATTTTCAATCTTCTCCAGGTGTTTGCTTTGCTCATGGGATAAAGTACAGCTGATACAACATTCAAATGATGTAGCAAGAAGGTTCCTTACAATTTTTGTAGCAGTCATGCCGAACCAGATATACACTAGGTAATGAATGCAGATCTTAGTAGTTTTGTTACTGTGATTGTAATTTTTGGCTTAGTTGTAACTGCCTATTTTTCCGGTTCTAGGCAATGAGAAACTGGTGTCGTTTAAGTTTTGGCTTCTGCATTTTTCCTTTTCTCTCGGTCGTGTTGTATACTACTGTTATTAAGAACTTCATTCTATTTCATGAGTGCAATTGTTTTGATTATCGTCTATGGAATGTGTAGCGAAGTTAGGGAGAGTGTAGACATTAATAAAAAATACAAAAAAAATTCTCTGATAAAAATACAAAAAAAATTTCTTTGATGTGTTAACTTGATGCATGTGCAATTGTTTTCGTTATTTAAGATTGATTATCACAACGGCTGAGGAGATTAGAGCAGATGTGGTCTATAGAATTAAGGGGGGTGGCTTAAGTGGAGGAGTGCATTTGGGATATTTTGCGATCATCGAGTACCTACTAGACTAAAAAGGAAGTTTTATAGAATGGCTATTAGACAAGCGATGTCGTATGGAACGGAATGCTAGATAATTAAGAAACATGTATATAAGATGAATATTGTTGAGATGAGGATGCTTAGGTAGATGTGTGACGAAATTAGAAAAAGAGAGAATAGATTGAGATGGTTTAGTCATATACAATGGAGACCAACAGAAGCAATATTGAAGGGATAGACCTAGGTTGACGTGAGTTAGTGTAGTAAATAAAAATACGAATCTCCTTAATTTGACTAACGATATGGCCTTGGATAAAATCGAATAGAAAAGGATGATTCATGTAATCGATCCCATTTGATAAAATTTAAGGCTTGATTTGGGTTGATTTGGTTTGGGTCAAGTGTGGCAGGCTTGATATAGGCTATTTCTTTTCAACTAATAATTGTTTAATGTGTCAAAATTGACATTTTCAAATTTTATTATACACGAGAAGCTCCAAACCAGAAGAAATGTTCATCGAACTTATCGATTGGCTTTTCTTTGAGAAGAGAAATGACATGCAAACAGAAACTGAGAGGGTAATTTATATGTAAATTGGGCTGAGCTGGGTAATGGGCCGTTCTGTGGGCCACAGTAAAAAGGGCTGAGTAAAAGAGCCTTGTAGTTAGCCCGGTTTAGAAAGAGCCTTGTAGTTAGCTCGGTCCAAGAGAGCCTTATATTTAGCTCGGTCACCGCTGTTAGAGCGATGACAGTTAGCTCAGCCATACCCTTATGAGCCGAAGTATTTTGAGCTTTTCTTAGGACCTTGCTACGGTTTAGCTCGGTCCAATCTCGTTATGGTTAGCACGGTCTCAGCAGGAGAAGCTGATGTACACGCAGTGAATGGGAGAATCGAGCTAGGTAAAGCTTGGTCATTTCAGCCAGTATAGCATGGCTGTGATAGCTCGGTCGTTTTGTCATACCACCGAGGTAAAACCATCTCACTTGGTTTAAGTAGTAAGGGCGGTGTTGAAGGATAAGAATTATCTTTCAGGAGTGTGATTCCTTGGAGAACTCTGCATGGAGGAATAAGAGTCCTACTAGGATTGTGCCACGCGGAACCTATAAAAGCTCATAACATCACTTATGGAGAGGTAACACAACTTTGATTCTCGAATACACAGAGCTTTTGTCTATTTGTCTATTTTGCTGACTTAGGCATCAAAGAGGTATCCGGCACACACCTGCCGGCTAGCTCACGTTTGTGTTTTCAGGGAATAAAGCGACGACGTTTGAAGGAGCGCAGACTTGATCAACAGGATTATATGAGAAGATTATTTCTTGCTCGTACAATTGGCGCAGTCTGTGGGAATCACAGAAAGAACAAAACCTCTTGATCAAAGTTTTCCTCGCTAGATTAGACGCATTGGCGCACAATGAAGATTTATCGCAGTCCGCCATTGACGGACAAACCCCAGAGGGAGGTGGGAGGCGCGAAGGTTTGCCTTCCATCCCTCCCATGGCAGATTTAGAGCCCCAGCGACAGAACTCCCAGAGGGATGCAAGGGGGAGGCGGGGTAACAGCCCCCGTTGCTCATCAAGTCCTGATAGGCAGAGGTGGAGGATCGACCCTCAAATTTTGGAGGATTGGGTAAAGGAGCAGGATGAGTCAGAAGATCGTGGTAGGCATACCACGCCATCGCAAACAGAGAGTAGGAGCCTCAGAACAGGCGACACTCAATCAAGAACTTCTAGAACTCGTTACTCCAGGTCTGAGAGAACGAGATCATTGAGGTCTTACACTAAGGGAAGCACCTATCGGCCCTCACATACGCATCAGACATCATCCAGGCAAACGGAGTTGCCTAGATCGTCCGACTTACGAACTGTGCTTGAAGAAAGGGCACGACGGAAGGAGGATGCCAGGGCACGTGACCCGCACAGAATTTCAGCCCTTCAGCGGTTGGCTCCTCGGACGCATGGACGCGTCGAGGTAAGAATGCCAATACCGCACTTTGCCTACGAACTAACAGATAAAGCATTTGCAAGGCTACATAGCTCGCCGTTCGTTCCGGCGATTGAGAACGCACCCTTACCTTTAGGCTTCATCCAGCATAAATTTACGACTTACGAGGGGACGACAGACCCTTACATGTACCTAAGCCACTTTCGCTAGGTCATGGCTGTATACCGGCAGAACGAGGCTTTGATGTGCATTCTATTCCTATCTAGCCTTGGCGACCTAGGGTTAACCTGGTTCGAAAGGCTACCAGAAGGCAGCATAGCCTCTTGGGCACAATTAGCGGAGGCGTTCGTGACAAGGTTCAGAATGAACACCAAGACGCCAGTAGAGATCGATCAGCTATTCTCCATTGACATGGGTGACAAGGAGACGTTGAGATCCTACAACAGTCGTTATTGGGAGACCTTCAACCAGATAGGAAATTGCCCCACAAATCTCGCCATCGCACAATACAAAAGGGGTCTTTCAGTAGGAAAACAGGCTGAGGGACTCAATTACCATGACGCCCCCTCTCACAATGGAAGCCTTAATGGAGAGGGTACACCAACACATTCGGGTGGAGGAGGACGGCGCCCGCGCTAAAACGAAGTCTGGTACAACCGCAATACCAGATAAAAAGACTTCGGCAAAAGTCAACGTGGTAGAACGTCCAAGCAAAAACGGGCGAGACAGGCGGGACAACGGAGAGGACCACGATAAAAGGTGGTTGAGAGTCCGCACTGCCATTACCACGGTGTTCAAAAAATTGATCTATCGGATTCCCAATGAGATACGTGATGAACCTTTCGTTAGATGACCAGCTAAATTGGGAGAGGCACAGAAGGACTATGACGAAAGATCCCGGTGCACCTTCCATAAGAAAAAAGGCACCGCACTGAGAATTGCACGTTGTTGAGACAGCATCTGAAAGAATTAGTGGCAGCTGGGCACCTAGACCAGTACATAGAAGGAGGGACACAACCAACCCCTTAAAACCACGATCACCTAGACGGAACGCCGATCGACGCCCCACCACAAGGCGTGATAAACATAATGCATGGGGTATTCGAACTTGAGCGAGTATATGAGCTCAGGGGAATAATCAAGAAGGCTCAACACTTAAGGGAGGTATTAAGTGCGCAGCCTACCATTAAAAAAGGGAGAACAGAGGCCACGAATGTCATGTCTTCTTCAGATAGAGACTTGGCAAGGATATATTGCCCTCACAACGATGCACTGGTCGTCACTCTCCGCGTCAAGGATTACGACGTCAAGCGAATTTTGATTGACCAAGGGAGCTCATGTGAGATAATGTATTACGAAACCTTCAAACAACTGAAACTGGAGGACAAAGACTTGGCACCTGCCGTATCTCACCTGATCGGATTCAACTTAATGCCAGAGTGGCTAGTTGGCAAGATTATCCTCCCAGTTAGAGCAGGAAGCATGACGAAACAAGTGAAATTCTGGGTATTAAAAGTCCCTTCCACTTACAACATAATCTTGGGAAGGACATGGTTGCATGCCATGCGATCGGTAGCGTCAACCTACCATCAAGTAATGCGATTCCCCAACGAAGCCAGAGTAATTGAAGACGTCTTTGGAGACCAAATTATGTCCAAGCAGTGCTTCGTCACAGTAAATGGCAGCCGAGCTGCCAAAGGGTTTGTTCAGATGGTGGAAGAACCTGAGAGCAATGAATTGTTTGCGGATGTTGGCAAAGCCGCTGAACAGAAGGCAGTGGAAGACTTGGTACAGGTAAGAATAGATGAAAAGGACCTGAAAAAGTTCTTTTTGCTTGGCTCATCTATGTCCAACACCGAGAGAATAGAGGTCATGAAATTTTTGACCTTTAACATCGAAGTGTTTGCTTGGACGCTATATGACATGCCTGACATTAACCCAAACTTCATCTGTCACCAATTGAATGTCCACCAAACTGCAAGACCAATTATACAGCGCACTCGCAGATCAGCACTCCACCACGCCAAGATAGTGGCGGAAGAAGTGGGAAACCTTCTAGAGGCAGGAGCTATCAGAGAAGTGCATTATCCCAAGTGGATATCCAATACAGTAGTGGTGCCAAAGAAGAATGGAAAATGACGTGTCTGCGTGGACTACAAAACAGTCAACAAGGCATGCCCAAAAGATAGCTTTCTCCTACCACGGATAGACCAACTGGTAGACCTAACGGCAGAACACAATCGACTTAGCTTTCTTGATGCATACAAAGGTTATCATCAGATCGCTATGTATGAACCAGACCAGGAGGTCACATCTTTTACAACGTCAAGAGGTCTGTATTGCTACAAGGTCATGCCCTTTGGCCTAAAAAATGCAAGGGCAACATTCCAGCGGATGATCACCAAGATGTTTGAACCATTGTTAGGCAGAACAATGGAGGCTTACATTGATGATATGGTAGTCAAAAGCAAGGATGAGAATGACCATCTCAGGGACCTAGGTGAGATGTTTCAGATCCTAAAGAAGCACAAGTTGCGCCTTAATGCTTCTAAGTGTGCGTTCGGCGTAGGATCAGGCAAGTTCCTAGGCTTCCTGGTGACCAACCGAGGTATAGAGGCAGACCCTTCTCAAATCAAAGCAATTCAAGATCTAGAAAGGCCCAACTCAGTAAAAGAAGTACATCATCTCACCGGTATGGCAGTCGCGCTAAACCCGTTTATAAGTCGGTCGTCAGACAGATGTCGACCATTTTTTCAAGCATTAAAGGCCAAGTTTGAGTGGGATGAAGAATGCGACCGCGCCCTAGAAAGTTTGAAAGAATACATGTCTTCT